TGTTATATATATAGTACGGAGTTGCTGTACAGCTGTCGCCGTTTCTCCGCTCTCAGTCTCCATGCCTCTCTATTGGACCATAGATCATCTGGCATTTCTCTTGCCGTCATAGCCTCTTGCACTCCCTGCTGCCATGCAATTCTGGGTCTTCCTCTCTTCTGTCTTTCTGTCGGCACCCATTTCAGGACTCGTTTTGGCCATCTTTCGTCTGTCATTCGCATAACATGACCGTACCAGACGATTTGTTTTTTCTCTATTTCGTCAAGGATAGATTTCTTGAACATCCATTTTTATTTCTTATATATCATCGTTCCTGATTCTGTCACGCCTGCTATAACAAGCAGCTTCTACGCTAGTAGTCCATTTCAAGGGCCAGCAGCTTCCCTTTTGTTCTTTATCGATTTCCCAGACTTCTGAACCGTATGTTGTAACACTCTTAACCTAGCGAGGAGTAAAGGACGTCTTTTAGTAGTGTTAGTAATGGTTTGTTCCATAAGACAGAGTTTTATACTTCGTGTAACGTTTCTCCCCAAGCTTATTCGTCTCTCAATTTCGTCATGGCTATTTCCCTTATTGTTAAAAAGTACACCAAGGTATTTATATTGTGTTTACCCCTTTCTTTTCCTCCATTTTCCACAAGAAGATCTTTTTATTTCATTTTTACCACTGCTAGGTATTCAGTTTTGTCCATATTAATTTTAGTCCTGCTTTTAAAAAGTGTTCATTGAGTTTACGGATCATGAAACTCAAATCACCAGCATCTTCTGCAATTACTACCTGGTCATCGGCAAAAAATAACGTAAACATTTATCCTCCCGATCGGTCATTCCCATTACTCTTGCATTGTTTCTCCCACTGCTTAAAATTTGATGCAGATATATAAACAGTGTTGGAGAAAGACAGCAACCCTGTCGCAGACCTTTGCTGACTGGGAATGGATTCGAGAGGCCTGCTGTATATCTTAATCTGAGAGGTGGTTATTTCTATGTAGATTCTGTGTGGCTCCAATTAAGTTTTCACCGATTTGAAGTCCATTCCATTTCTTCCATACTCTACGCAACCGGTACATTGGTTTCCATACAGACCCTTCTGAAGATCAATGAAACTCAGATGAACTTCCCTACCTCTCCTTGTTCTCTTTTGTATAAGTTGTTTTTATGTAAATATATTGTCTATGACCGACCTGCCGGCAGTAAAACCACATTATTCCTCTCCTATTTTTCCTTTTATCTCTTCTTCTATTTATTTTCGTATATTTTGCTATACAGACTACCTATAGATCCACATAACTGCTATTCCTCTGTAGTTTGTTTCATTGTCTCTAGATCCTTTCTTATGGATTGGTGAAATATTTTTCTCCTCCGAAATCTAATAGTAAATTAACTTAGAAATTGAAAAACGAATCGCCGTTGTAAAATCGATTCTTCTTAGCTGTAAAAAATGGCATCGATTTAAACAAATTTTAAAATATTATGTGTAGTTATTTCAAGGTTTTTCGAGTTACTAAATTCAAATTTGATGTCTAAATTTTATCTCTGATAGTTCCGAGTATCAAAAATGACACTTTTATATCGGTCAAAAGCTGTCATAACAATGTATTTTAAATTTTATTTACTAGACAGCTAGGACTAATAAGTAATCTATTATTGGATCTATTTTCACGGGCTGTCCAGGTAAATTTGTGAATTTCCTTGTGTCTAAAAAAAGGTATTTTCTACTCTTCGCGGGTTAAAGTTAAGAAAATCTCGTAGCATTTTTTGGTTTTGATTTATTACGATTTCTTTATTAGTTCCAACAAGGTTTTGGATGGGTTGTAGCCTATTCTAGCATAAAATCAATCTCCTGTTATTACCGTGTAGTCATTTTTATTTATGGAGTGAATGTCGTTTTGTAAGCATTCATAGAAGTTAGTGGAGTCGTCTTTCCGACCTTCTTCTGGGCCATACACGGATTTAACTCTCTCACAGCCCCTTGATGTTTAAAATATACACATGTAACTATTCTTTCGTTAATTCATCTATTAGTTATTATCGTACTTTTCCACTTTTCACATACTATAATTGCCACTCCCGCCGTTGCTATACTTTCTGCAGGTACTCCGCTATATATCATAGCGTAATGACCGAAGTTGCTTGTTCCTTTCTGCTTTTTTTGTTTCCAACAACATTATTAGATCCAATTTTGCATCCATGGCTTCTTTCCCTAGTTCATGTTCTCTGTGAGTTAGACCACGCACATTCCACGCACCTATATTCACATATTCCGATTTTCCTTTGTCCTTGAATTAGTCGTCATCAGTGGGTTCCGTTTACTATCATTGAGTGTGCCAGTAACAAAATTCTCCCCTGGCCGCCTCACGAACGCTACGCAGGGAAAGCTTGATAATGAGGGTGCTTCCAAACAAGCAGGATTTGTTTAAGGTTTAATCTCCTAGAGTGACTGCCTCCTCTTCAATTCTGAGGTCCCCATGAATATTCTCGCCGCCAGCTGCAGACGATATTCATTGCATGGAACTCTGGAGTTACCTCCCCAGAGTCCTCTTCTGGAGTACTTCATCTTATCTCTCTCCGTCAAGGGAGGCACTACCAGTAGCTACTCAACCTCCAGCATAGCTTTCAGGGGCGTTGGGATTCTCAAGCCCCACCACTATCGTCAGGGTCGTGTACTCTCTATGGGGTTCATTAGATTATTGTTTTAATGTTCATTTGGCACTAGTAGACATTGAAGTTTACACAAGTGTTAAAATAGATACAACTTTAGGTTTAATTTTTGATACTCAAATGTTTCTGTAAATTAGCTAGACATATTTTATATTAGTTGAATCAGTAGTTTGGATAGATTTGATGTGGCGATCGTGTACTTAGCTCTGGAAGCGACCTTCGAGGTTTGGCTCGCTGCTGTATGAAGACGGGCGATGTCGTAACGGGGAGGAGCGTGGGAATTTCCTCTGGCGTCGGCAAAGGTTTGACACGAGTTGGCAAGATGGCGGCGCCGCGCAATAAGACACGATGCTTCGACAAGATTCCAGAAGCAGTTTCTTGATTCATAGTTCACCTTGTTCATATTGGTATAGTTTCTGTTGTGTGAGTTCCGTGAATTCTACCGTTCATTCACGACTGTACTTAAAGGCAATGATTTTGAGCTGCTGCGTGTTGCAAGCTCACTCACGATTGCACAAATTAGCAATAGTTTCGAACTGCTTCTTGTTAGAGAGAACGTGATAACTACGGGGTGGGTTTTAATTACCTAAAACATTGCCAAAAATTGTCTCTAAAATGCTCTTAAAATGCCCTAGAAACAAAGTATAGTGACGTAAAAATTAGTAAAAAATTTTGAACAAAAGTACTTCAGATGAACAACTCAAGTTCGTGGATATGTTACTGATGTCATCGACACTTCTTACTTTTGTTGAAGTGAACTCAGCTTGCAAACTTTTAGTTTGGACTGTTCTTTAAAAGAAAATTTCTGCCTTTCTTTATCGTGAAAGATCGATCTGACAATGGCGCAGATATGCGTCACTTAGATTACAACGGCTAACATTACTATATACGAGCGAAGAAATTGAATAGTCTACTGTGAAATTCTGTGGTGAATATTTATTGCACCTCGTAAGTATTTTTTGAAGCAAGTATCATTACGAATAAAATCGATGAAATCGGCGAAAAATGCATTAAAAATGGCGTAAAAGGGTAACAAGTAGGGGTTAGTCGAAATCGAAGCAAAATTAAAAACAAAACAAAAATGGGTCATTTCGTTTTGTCATAATGCAAAATGAATTTCTATACGACATGGCATTGTTCTAAAGAGAAAAAAATGGTATTTCATTAAAATCCGACCCCCCGTGATAACTTTCACTTGCAAATACACAAATTAACAATAGCGTGGGTAGAGTGCATTATTAAAGGGTCAAGTCATAAGAAAGAAAAACATTGCTTAAAATGTTGTAGGAAATACAAATGGGTTTATTTAATTCATCTACCCTTTCATTAATGTATACATAGTAAAACGTGTATTGAAATGCCTAATCAACTTATAAGAGAATATAAATATTTCGGAGCTGAAAAATTTCTTCCTTATGTAGTATGTTGTGATTTTCAATATACTACATTAAAATGTGTCAAGAAAAATTACTTCATTCAGAATACATGCATGACATCAACCTAATAGTCTGTTCTGTTCCCGATTTAGGAAATTATTTTGATTCCGGTTGAGAGTACATTTAATTCGAAATTAAAATATTGATGAATGAATACATGAATTTATTGAAGATCTTGTTAAATTAAGTAAATATTATTGTAAAGTATATTTAACTATAAATATTTAATTAGAATGGTCTGTGGAATTGTCTATAACTTATTATGAAGTTGGTACTTGTTATATTTGCAACAAAAAATTGAGAGACCATGAATTAAAAAAAAATGTGGTTGATCATGATCATTTGACTGGTAAAGAGGCACAGCATGTAATACTTGTAATTTACATTTACGACTTCCAAAATCCATTCCCATTATCTTTCCTAACTTAAAATATGACAATTTTTTTCGATGGTTATTAAAGCTTAGTGGAGATTATTCAGATATTACAATTATACCCAATACAGTTGAAACGTATTAACCTTTTAAAAAAAGTGCTTGCCAACAAGACAAATATATCAATATAAACAAATAATACATTTAAAAACAATACTATAACCATTTTTTTAAATGTGATAAAAAGAAATATAAGAGATAAAGATCTTCAAGACGATGATATTGAATTTATATTCATTAATACATATAGATTTTAATTTGCGAGTTTAGATCAAATTGTTAAATATTTTGCTGAATAGAATAAATTTGCATAGAATGTAAATGTAATCAAAAAACATTTACATGTTTAGTTTCTTGTTATTGAAGAATATTATATATTAAGAGCTATTCCGTCTTGTAAAATGTGTACTCACCAAGTTTCTAAAAAAGTAAACTGAATATTCAATTGTTTGTTGTTGTTTTTTGTTTCAGAAATTCTGGTTGATTTAAGAGAGGCTATTTTGCAAGTGGCTAGACATTTTATATCCGTAGATCCTAAACTGTGCAAAGTCGTCCTTGTGCCTGATTATTCAATGGAAAGTCATGCTCAAGATCATGACAACTATGTTAATGTATCCCAGAATCGCAAACGTAGAGCAAAAGCTCTTCTAGGTGAGTAAGATGTTTTCTGCTATAATTACTTCAAAAATTTGAAGTATGCATTATTTTGAAGTTTTATTTTGTATCTGCCTAGATTTTGAACGCCATGATGATGACGAACTTGGTTTTCGTAAAAACGATATCATCACAATCGTGAGCCAAAAGGATGAACATTGTTGGGTTGGAGAACTCAATGGCCTCAGAGGTATCTCGTTTAAATTTAATGTTATTTTTGTTTTAGGAATCATATGCAATTGCTTATTCATATTAAGTGTTTTTTAATATTATAAGAAAGCGACACAGCCCAAAAGGTTTCCATTATACGGGTCCAATGATCAAGTTGCCCAGTCATTCCCTAGCGCCCAAAGCCACGTCGTCCTGGTTGTAACACAATTTCATTACACATTTTCGTAATTTGCAATAAAAACTATCAGTATTATAATCTAGTTCAAGTTCATGTTTTTCAAACGTCTTTGCATGATAAAGAATATTTGCTATGAACACGCAACATTCTGTCTCGCCTTAATGGGACATGTTTTGGCGCCGAGCGATCATAACTTCTAGAATTTGACGTGTTGTATTCTGGCTCCTCACGGTGGTTGCAAGGTTTTGCATCAATCATGTGAAATGTATTGTTGAATAAAAATGCACGGATGGAATGAAAAATGGACACCATTTAAGGTGTTGTACATGTTGTACTTCGTAATTTTATACATCCTATCGTGTTGCAACGGATAATCCAGAATTATTGTATTCTTTGTTTTAAGTTTTAGACATACCTATATTTATAACCATGTTTTTAAGTAAATGGTTTTCAATGGGCACACAATTTTGCTCCCGAAGAGGCGTTTAACAAGGTCAAATCGTTGTTCCTCCGGGTCGGATCAAATTACAATTGTACACTGAAGTGACTAAAGTTACGAGATAGCAATACCCAAATAAACAGATGGCAGTAGTACAAAAGCTATAAAAGGGCAGTGCATTAGAAGAATTTACATTTGTACTCAAGTGAAAAAGTGGGAAAAAGTTTCTTAGTGTGATTATGGCCTCAAGATGGGAATTAACAGATTGAACGCAGAATCTTTGTTGAAGCTAGACGCATGTGACATTCCATTTCGGAAATCGTTATTCCGAGGGAAATCAATATTCCGAGATCCACGGAGTCAAGAGTATGCCGAGAATACCTAAATTCACGCATAACCTCTCACCATGGAAAAGACCTATGGCCTTTACTTAATGACCGAATCGGCGTTTGCTTAGAGTTGTCAGTGCGAAAAGACAATCAACACTACGTGAAATAATTGCGTAAATCAAAGTGGCACGTAAGACGAACGTATCGGCTTTTTTCGGACAGCTCGTGGAAATTTGCCTTTAATGTGTTATGGAAGCAGAAGACCGACTCGAGTGTCTCCTATTGCCCTTTTTAGTGTGCTTTTATTCCTAGAATTGTCAATACGGTGGACATTCGGTACTGCAAACTTCGAAAATATACATGATACTAGGCTTTAGCGTTACATTAAAATATACCAATTCAAGGAATTTGTCATTAAGAACTTCTTGAAATAATTATCATTTAGATTATGATTTTGTAAAGGGTTAGGGTCCATATTTTTTGGCAGACGAATTCTTGTAACTTTAATTTATTCTATAATCGTGCAACTGTTTCGAGAATTGTTGTCCCAATGATCAGACTGTAAAATTGAATTTTGAAATTTTAGAGTACAAATTTAAAATTATTTGCAATACAATATTAGAATTGAGAAGTTATGACAGGAAAGAACGTCTCAGACACATGATCGCTCTCAAAACAGATGGTTTTTACATTGATATTCTACATCTAACGATCACAGGCAGACAAAATCAATTTCACACGTTGGTGAGAGCGGTTGAAATAATGAATTCTGAGAGTCAGAAGTTAAGACAAGAAAAGGGGGAGGGGGAAGGTTTTGAAAGCACCAGTAAGTGCGTACCTCTCCGTGTCTCAATATCAAAAATTCTCGGATTTTGAAAATTGAAAGAATGGTTGAACTTTATCCGATGATTGGATACAGAGTTTTGTTTTTGAGGAATCTCTCTTATGATTCTGTCATGTTCTTCATTCTAAAGGAGGAAGTGTATGTGGGCCCTCTTCAGGCGGGCGCCAGGAAACACTTGTGTCTCGGGAGAGCAAATTGCGGAGCCACGATTGTATGCGAAGAGACCCCAGTCGCTGTCAGTGAGATTCGCATGGCGGGAAATTTCAAACGTAAATTTGAAACTCACAAAACATATGTGATGGAAAACACTATTATTAAATCTTTTGAAATAGGCAAACGAATAATGTAATGAATATAGGAATTACAATAAATTAGCAGTATTAGTTGTATTATTGTATGTTTTTTTTAAATTGTTAGCATTTTCCTGAATTCATAAAAGAATTATTAAAATATGAATATTAATTAAATTGAATTATAATTAATTAACATGAATTATATAAATGTTAATATAATTAATGTTAATAATATTAGTTTAATCTTTTCCAATTGGCAAAAGAATAAAAACATGAATATAAGAATTACAATTAGTTAGCAGTATTAGTTATATTATTATATGATTTTATAAATTGTTATCATTTCCACTCCACTTCATTGAAGTAGATAACGTTTGGCGCGTTTTTTTAAAGTGGTATCCCCAATATGCCTATATCCACTCTGTAAAATACAAATAAATTACAGTATATTTGAGAATGAATAATAATATAATAACATATCAGTAAAACGTACACGGTTCAATTATTTTTATGAAGTATATTCATCATTTTGAGGGCTTAAAATGTTATTATTTCATAATAAATTTATCGTGATATCCTCTTTTTCTTGTGCAGTGGGTACAACTATAGAGGAAGTAGTTGGTTTTCTCTGTTTTTTTTGTCGAGACCAACCTTCTTTGAGGTTCAAATTTCGTACGTTTTGTTGGTGGTTCTCCTATGACAGATGCAAACATTGAACTTTGTTTCACAGCATTCTGAGCTCGCATTGTTGCTTCAGTTTGTCTAATCATTTTATGAATCAATTCCATGTCACCTTCAGAAGTAGCTTCATTTAAGACATCAAGAAATTGATTCATAATTGATTCTTTCTTCCGTTTCAGGTCATTATTACCTGGTACTGCCTATTTGTTTTGCAGATCGTTCAGAATCGTTCAGAACCTGTGAAACGCATTCATTTGGTTCGTCATTTATGATTAAAACATTTTCTTCTGTATCATCATTACGTAATGTTAATTTTTCATTAACGGATTTCAGGACCAAATGAATATGTTTACACGTATTGAACTTAATCACTGAGTCCGGGTATGTGCAAATCTATGCGTGGATACATACTTTGCATTCAAGACACTTTAAATCGCAGTTGCATGTGTCATTTACTTTCGTCACTTAATAGATTTCGCTTTTATTATTTGAAAATACTGTCCACAAGTCACAATCATCATCATTTTAATAATATCATATATATCCAATTTCGATGAATTCATGTGACATTGTCGTATTGCAGAAATCTTGGACGTCAATTTTCCTTTGTGATTAGAAATAAGCTTATCAAAAATTTCATCGCGCAAAAAACGCATTAAAGCATTTATTGCAATGTCAACTCTTTTTTGCTTATTTCCTTTCAAATAAATGTGTTTAATGATACCATGCATGCGTTCTAAATGCATATTGGTATTTAAACCTGCATATTGGCGATAACAATAAACCCAGTTTGACACTGTTCGGTGGTATTCGTTATAAAAATACTCTCCGAATTCAGCAGTGTTTGGATCGCTCTTTAGATTCTTCACTGCTTCTTGGAACATTCGATCAAATGGAATTTGATCCCTTTCTTCCATTAAAGTGCGAAGAACTTTATACACTTCGGCTTGTTTTTCTTTATTGCCTTTGACTTTATGCAGATTTTTTATCCACGCTCTATCCACATGCCAGGAACAAAATAATCGGAACTTCGGTTTTTCCATAACATCTAGCCAGGCATTATAAAACTCATCCACCATGTCTGTCATAAAAACGTTAGTCTTCAATTTTTCGCCAAGTACATTCTTAACATTAAGTAACATTACTTTAAGCATTTCGCAATCAGTACGGTTGGAAAACATGAATGTACATGGAAAACCTTGATTTAAATCGTCTAAAACAAGTAAAGTTGTTAACTCAAACCGTCGAATTTAAACCATGTGTACTGTCCATACTAACACACTTCTCGCCAAATCGCGTAAGCATTTCGCACTGTGTGTCATTCGTTATAATTAAAACAAAGTCATCTTCATCAACTGTCGAAACTCTTTTGAAATTGAACCTTGTGCCTTGTAGAAAACAACAACCTTACCACTTTTTTGCATCTCCTCAACCCAGGAATGCACACTGGTACTGTCATTATTATGTCTGACACCTTCGGCTTTCAAATTATGTCTTGCAATATTATGAAAATCTTTTCTTGTTATTAAATCACGACGTTCTAATTCATCAGTTGAAATAGACGCTCTAAGATTATCTAAAATATTGTCAAAAGGTATTTTCAATGCAATACTTTTTGCAATTTCATCTCTTTCATCGACCGAGTTCACATTTATGGCCAACATGAGTTTTAAAAAATTCTACCATTACTTCACCTGAAGGAAGATTCAATACCTCCATTCTAGCTGGACAGTAACCATTTACTTTATTACTTCCCAACATTTTTTCGTGACGAACGTTTGAACCTCTACTTCTAAGTACTCCACTGCGAAAACAGATAAATTTTAACTTCGATTTACCGTCGACAGAAGAAACTATTTCTCTTTTACGTAAGAAATTATTCTTCTCGCTGTTTTCGACACTTAACTTCCACTCGTAGAACATTTTTTCACTTTCAAATGTTAAACACTCTTTATCGGAAAACACAATATCATGTTTCGACTTATGATGCTGAAGCATGATACTAGGCATAGAACATGTGAAATTATTGCACACTGCACACAAAATGTTGTTTGCCTCTTCACTTTGTGTCGGGCGATGAATAGATTTGTTTACTGAAAGTATCCGGTCGCCAAGTTGAATACTCGCAAATATCGCATTTATATTTGTCTTCATTTTGCTTGTGTTTATCATTTAAATGCCTCAACAAATTCTTATTCAATGTAAACGATTTGTCGCAATATTTACAACGATAGTAAGACATTTTTTTCGCGTTT